TTTTTTTTTACCTATTTCGCTGCTATTTTGAAGAAAACAAAGTATTTTGTACTTGGTGTTTTTTTTGGCCATTTTTTTCAGCTATTTTTGTTATCTCTTATTTCGTTTTATATCTTACCACAAATGAACGCGAAATGAGTTGAGAGAATGAAAGAAATTGTAATAATAGTGTAAAGACAGGGAGAGAAGGGAAAGAAAGGGGAGGGGAGAGGAGTGAGGAATATAAAAATGAAAGTGAAAACGCAAAAATTTGACGGGACAAATCAGTGAAAACTTTGATGGCTATTTTTTTTGTGCTACTTAATTATCGTTTGGATAATTGGGCATCCGTTTTTTGTTTGATTAATCTGTTGCAATCTGCTTGTATCTTTTTTTGTTTAGATATCTTCATATGGGTTAGTGGTTAATTGCATCTGTAAAATTAATCAAAATATTAATCTTTTGGCTAGAGGGAGGCGGAAGGAAGTTGAGGACGTAGGGGGGATAGGAAGATAGAGGTGGGTGTTGTTTGGATATGCGTAATGACAAGTGACAATTGGTTTACAGCTGTTGTGAGTTGATATCAAACGCATCTTTTGTAAATCCTTCTAAGACTGATAACTGGATTAGAGTTGCAGAATTTCCGCCGTTTTTAGTGTTTGGTTGTTCTCTGTGTGCATTTGGTGATCATCAGCACCATATTCTTTGAAGTTTCTTTTCCATTGTTTGTCGTTGCTGTTGTTATTGTTTTTGTTTGTTATCGTTCCATACAACCCTTTGTTTGTTAAGGAGAAAAAACCAAAGGCAAACTGAGGATGGGTGGTACTGTGTATAGGAGAAGGAGAAGGAGGGGGTGAGGACTAAGACAAGGGGACGAAGGTATTATTTGGTAACAGGAAAGCTTCTTTACTTATGCTCTCTGTTTGTTCAAAGCAAAAATTTTTTTCTTCTAGATCAAAGTTTTTTCGTTTTCTAATTGTGGTTGCTGGTTGTTATTAAGCAACAATGATCGCCATCTGAAGTGTACCATTTCAAAGATTACTTGTGTGCTGTCTATTAACCTTTGTTACAAAAAGAAAAAACTGAATTTACTTCTGAACGACGTGGCGTTCATACTCAAAACAATCTTCTATTTATGTGTGATTGAGATGCAGTTTTTTCCTGTTGTCTAAGAAACTTGACTGCTTGTCAAACAACCTGATCGTTTAAAATATTTCAATTTTTTTGCTGTTAATCATTTTCTACTTGATGACGTTTTCCTGGTTGATGTGTGTGCATTTT